TCGGAGTGGCCGCCGCCAACGCCGCCGGGGGAGGGGGCCGGGCTGGCGTGGGGAGTTCCTCGCTCGCGGACCACACGCTCCACGGGCCAATCCCGAGCCAGCCTCGAGCGGTGTCGCACGCGGGACACGTCCAAGCGTTTGTTGGCAGAGCCGGCAGTGGGAAGGAGGAGGGGGGGGAGCAGAGAAGAGGAGGGAGGAGAGTTGAGTGACAAGCCGCGCGGGGCATGCTGGGAGTTGTAGTTCCGACATCCCGTGGCCATAGCCATTTTGTAGTCGGGGGACTACAACTTCCAGAAGATCAAGGGGACCATTCTGAGGTGCCCCGGGAATAGGCGGCTCTCCCCGGAGCCAGGCGTCCTGGGGGCACTGGTTCCGAACTGTCCCGCTGCAGGTAAGATGTAAAGACTGTGGGCTGGGGCTCGCATGTGACTGCTGTGGGGTGAGCGGCAAGCTGAGGAAAGGGGTTGAGGTGGAGCGACCGAGCGTGCCATGCATTGAGCTAGGGAGCCTCTCTCAATTTCACGCCTGGGCTCGGCGTGGGAGCTACTCCTGAGCGCCTGCCTAGGAGGGGCGTGTGGGGAGGGGGGGGGAGGGTTCGCCAAGTCTCTCGGGAGTTGAGTCGACCGGGCTGTGGAGGGGGTTCTCTGGAACTGGGCTCGGGGCGTTGGGTGCGGATTAGGCAGGCGCGCGGTGGCTTAGCTGTGGGAGTTTTCGGCTGGCGTGCGGCGAGGAATTACCCGAGGAGCCCTAACTTGTATAAAAGCAGAGTCCATTTAAAGTTGGGCTGGATAGCCTCCCTCTCATTGGTTAGGGGGCTCGGAAAAAAGAGACTCGGCGAGCCCTCGCTGTGGTGCTGCCGCCGCCGCCGCCGCCGCCGCCGCCGCTGGAGTTGACTCTGGTGCTCGCACCGCCGCTGCAGCACGAACGTGACTTCCCACATTTTGTATTTATCTTTCCCTTTTCTGCTCCAAGATGTAACTACGGATCCGACACTGAGGACCTTCACGTTCCGCTGATGTAGTTTTTGGAGGAAAGAGGGGGGGAAGTGCAGGGCGTCGGTTTTTTTTTTCTTTTTCTTTTTTGTGTGGTGTGTGTTTCGGGGGAAATTTTCCATGATGAATGTTTTACTAAAGTGATTTTTGTTGTTGTTGTTTGCTTCGTTCGTCTTCGGCTCTCTCTCTCTCTCTTTCTTTTTTTTTTTCTTTTCCCCTGGCCGATTTCGGATTTATTTCAAGGCGAATCTGGCTTTTGGGGGAACGAGGAAGAAAAGTCGGATTACAAGATCAACCACCACCACCACCAACAACAATAAAAACCACCAGGATATTTTTTTGTAAATTTCTGACGGCTTTAAATTCATGAAGCAATTGTCCCCTCCTACAATCAGCGTTTGGATCTCAGAATGAGCAAGGAAAGACCCAAGAGGAATATCATTCAGAAGAAATACGTAAGTGCCCCTCACAACACATCCTTTGACTTGCAGTTTTAAGCAATGGCTGTGAATGTCAAGTTTATACATAATTCTGCAGCCTCGGGGTTTTAAACAGAGCGTCCGATAAGGCTGCTGCTTTCTTTTCGGAAAGAGGGCTTTTCAGGCAAAGTCGTGTCTGCCTAGTTTGGTCGAAAAAAAAACCCCAACCCCGATTGGTGTAGACATATTAGTGAATAAATTGACCTCGAATGACACAACCATAATCTAGTTTCAGATGAAAGGCAAGGGATTTTGGTGGAGCTTGGGGTGGGGTGGAGGGGGGGGCTGCGGTAATGTAACTAAAAACTGCATTCTCGGGCGGATTTGGTCACATATTGCACGTTGCATACAAATGAGCCTGTTATTATTATTATCGGTTAATGTTGTTTGGAAGATTAGGTATGGCATGTGTGTGGAAGCCTTTTAAGTTGCAATCCAGCGTCCGATTATGGCGATCTTTACATTGGCACATCAAATTTAATGTATGTGGTTGTCTTGCTTGGCTTATCTGGTTTTCAGCCTAACCCAGTTGGGAGTCATGTTACAGCGAATGTATTTGTTGGGATTGACTTTTAAATAATGAGGCAGATTTTTTTTTTTTTAATTTTGGTTTCTAGCTTTAGGTGAAAAGCACACATATTTGGCTGTAGTTAAGTAACTGAATGTGAAATGTGACTACAAATAATGTTCTATTAGGGCTTCTGAAATTGGGAGATCATACAGAGATTTAAATGGCTTAGAACAGTTCAATTTGTTTTATGCATACTACAGCTACATTTTGATTGGCATGGGGAGTGTTTTTGTTTTGCGTGTGTGTAGTGTTTTTTTTTAAGTTGGGGGGAGGGAGTAAAGAAGGGGACTGAGGGATTAACCAAATAGGCACCCGAGTGGTCCGTGATTAGCTGCGTGCTTGAAAGCAATGAACTCAATTTTTCAGAAGAAGGCCACAGGAAGGAATAATGCAGCGTTACAGGAAAGTTTTATTTAAGTCGAGTCCACAAATTGGTGTTAATTTTTCTCTTTCTAATGGATATGAAGTGTGTAATGGGAGATGGCCTTCGGGGCAGTGGTATATAAAGAAAAAAAATGATCTATATTTAATAGAAAAGCTGAACGCCTCTTCTGGAGGGCTGATCATAATCTAGACCCGTAAACTTCAACTATGAAAGAAATGCGAGGCTAAATAATCAAGCTCAACTTACAAAGCTGTTCCGCGAAGAATTTAAGAATTTAAAATACATCCGCATTGCAGAGGGCTGGATGGGATGCAAAGGACGAGTTTAAACTCGGGCTGTAGCAACTGCACGGAGACAGCCTTGCCTGGGAGCGTGGACGTCTTCCCGGGGCACGTCCGTCCCTGAGGCAGCCACAAAGCAGCTGGGGTAGAACTTGGACAAGAACCGTCCCCCTCCCATCCCGGACCTAAGTTAAAGAGCAGCTTGGGGTGTCCCTCGCACCCCTATTCTCTCCCCCCTCCCCGCCCCCAGCTGGTGGCCGGAGGATCCGGTCGAGTTGGGACGCTCGGCCCGCCAGCCTCTAGCTGGCAGCGGCCGGCGGAAGGCAGAGCTCGAGTTATCGCTGCGGGAGCGGAGCCGGTGTGCCTGCCGTGCTGGGGACCGGCTGCCGCGGGGAGGGTGCGCGGGGACCCGGGCGAGCTGGGCCGGGGCCGG